CTACTGCATACTTTTATGGTTATGAAGCACTATTTTAAAACACTTTTTTGGCACATTAGTCTAATACCAATTAAGATTATAAACTCAGTGAACTGATAATAATAATATTTACTACAATTAGGCATTTACTTAATCGCAAAACGTGCAAAAAAAGAATTTTCAAGAAGAAATTCATTGATATATATTATAAAAAAATTATCTTCAATATTAGAGCTTTCGAATCAAACTATTTATAATTTGATCCGATCACGACATATATAAATTCATATGAAAAAGATTGACTTTACCTTTCCATCAATGGTCGCAAAAGGAACCGACGACGCCTTTCCATGAGATAAAGGAATCTGGAAAAATAAGAAAAATTAAAATGAAATAATGATAATTTAAATATAGAAATGTACAATTTATAAAGAATACATAAGAAGGTAAGTTCAATTCTTGAACTTGACAATTGAATTCTTGAACATAGATTTTCTTATATAGGTATACTTATCATTAGATCACATAATTGTGATATTCCATGAATTATTGCATTAATTTTATTACTACTATTACATTGATTAATTTTATTAGTATTAGAATGAAAAAATACACTATATAGATTACAGTATTACAATCGAAATAGTGCAACGTCAGACTTCAAGAACTTTGCTCATAATCAGACTTATGAAACTAGTATTTATTTCTCAATTTATAAACCAGTTTCGAAACCAAATTTATAAAATATAAAAACACTAACACTAACTATTTGTAAGACAAATTATAAAAGTGCATCGCGTCACAGATTATGTACCATGAAAAACAATTCTCTACTATTTCTATTTTCCGCACTAAATATTAACACAAATCTCTTTTAGCTCTCAAATAATAAAAAGTCGCCAGCTAGTTGGCGTTCCAATAAATATATGCTACCTAATCAATTCATATTTCCAAGATGGTCTGTTTTTGCAATAGTATTTTTCTGATCTCTGAGAACTTATAATTGATAATAGTTTAGTATCATGTAGTGCAATAGGTAAAGGTATTATCCGATAGTATCTTCACGATGACAGTTAGATAAATATTCCACCTTTCAACTTTAACATCAGTATGCTCATACTACCTGCAGACATTTAGACATTTATCGTCATCGAATGTAACATGAGAATATATAATTTCCTTAAGCTAAAGAGGCAAATAACAGTGCATTGGAAATAATTACATATATTACGCTCATAATAACAGTTTGTCCGATTGCTAAAACCCTTTTTAGGAAACCGTAAAATTAATATGACATCTTGTAATGTTACTTAGATATATTCACAACTTGAACATGAAATAAGGAGCAGTAGTTTTCTTGGAAACGGATAATTCTTATTCTCGATTTCTGCTATGACTAAAATTAAAACATATAGCCAAATACTGTGTTTCCATATTATTTATACAGGGTGTCTCAGACCTTAACGTCAAGCCGAAATGGGATAAGAGTACTGACCTTTTGTCCTGAAAAAATTTAGAAAATAAAATTACCTCACGTTGTTTGGAAATGAGCTTTTAAGTGCAACCTAGAGCTTTGAAGTGAACCTAGAGCTAGTGCTTGGGTGAAATTATTACCATTTTTTGGTTATTGTGGTTAATTTCTTTTAATTTTGTTCATATAAATATTGAAGCCGCAATAGTGAATAACATTTCTAGGACTGAATTTCAAGAATTATCGCAAAAATTACTTCAATTTAAAACCACTTATAAAGTTTTGGAGGTTAGGTTATCGCACTCAACATTTAAAGAAACTTATGGTCCTAGGATCTACTACTGATCAATTTAGTTACACAGATGTATTTTTCATATAAACAATTTGATTGATTGAAAAATACATGCGATTTGTACAGTATGAAAAACATTCTAGTTGTGGAAAGTGATTTCAAAGACGCAAAAATGATAAAAACTGACCATTTAGTAAACAAAAAATAATTTAAGGTATGCATACTTAAGTTTTTTGTCTTTTAGTATAACTTACATTTCGGAAAATTCAGCACATTTATTCCAACAACAGTTAATAACAATACTGATACCGAAATTAACAAAATATAATGTTTATATTTTGTAATTATATTCATATAACTTCCATTTAAATTGAATTTCTTTCAGATAACTCGAATCTATTATTCAAATATTAGTATATGATACGGAATTCGTACTACAAATTAATTGCAAACAATTGCAAAGTAAATATTTGCATTTTATTGTCTTCTAGAAGCTATTATGAAATTATAAATGTATTATTCCATAATATAAACCGTGTGATTATAATTTGGTGCTCAAAAGTGAATCAGAAGGTCATGAATACAATATAAATGAATAAAAATTTAGACCATTGTTGATTTTTAACATTTTGAATGCGCAATACTGACCCATTTGAAAAATAATAAATGATGGCTAGACGCGTAATATATTTTTAATTGTTTGTGAAACTATTTTTTCCTATGAAATTGTTAATACAGTGATTGTGCCAAGTTTTATATCATTTTGTTGGATAGTAACTACAACGCTATAGTTAAAAGTTATTATAAAATCCTTTTGGAATCACTAGTACCATGAATTGTAAAACATTCTTTGCAATATTTAAAATTAACAAAATAGAAGAAATATATATACAAATTGTCATATATATTGAGTTAAACTAAACATAATAATAATATATATTATAATATAAATGAATTAATATTGATCTGAAAATCAATAAATTAAGTCAATTTTGAGAACTCAGTAATTACTGTTTAGCAAATAATAATGATACAACACAAATAATGCACATTTGTTAATAAATAATAATTTAGAAAAAATACATAATGAAGTTAAATCTAGAAGAGAAAGAAGTATAAACTACCTGCCCTATCGGAGGCGTGGGTTCGAATCTCACCGCTGCCACCACATTTAAAGATAAGTTGTAACTTTGGCATAAATAACAAAACAAAGATGCATACTTTGAAGCAAAAACATTTATTGAAAATCTATTTATGATATTCAGACAAAATTTACAAAATAATTGAGATTAGATTTACTTAGATTACATATCCACAAACTTTCTTGATCACTTATTCAAGTCTATACTTATCCTTGAAAAAAATTATATTCCCAATATGGCATTGCACTTAATCTTGTTCTTTGAGATTTAATGTATGTATGAAAAACTTCATCAAAAGCTGAACGATACCCATACTCATAACTTTTGAATTCTAGCGTTAAATCAATATAGTTTTAATACACCATGCAAAATATTTATTATGAAGCATATGAGGAAATATTCAAGTTCACAATGTGAATTCTTATCAATATCAGTTGTTGAAGGTAAAACATGCAAAGTTATAAGAACATTGCAAGCACAAAATAAGACACCTTAGTATACGTCATTTGTAGAGTAATTTAAGCATATCGTGGTCTGTGTTATTATGCTTTATTTTAGATAGAAATTTATTAGATTTACTGAAAAATAACATGCAAAAACATTTATTTTTTTGTGAACTAGCAGCTTGGAAATTGAAACGAATTTTCTACTTATTTAATCTTAAAAATAAGTTAGCCAAATGTATATAATTTGTTGATTTTATAGTGCAAATAATTAATATTATAAAAAAATCAGTATATTTTTCATAATAAATAAAATTTCAGACCCAGTTTTCATGTTTCACTACGATGCACATGTTATCAACAATTAAAAATTATAAAAGACTTAATTTGCATTAAATGATATATTAAATTAGTATTTTATAATTTAAGATCTTCTGTTTTAAGATACTATCAAAGTTTAACTATTCAAGATTGTGTACAAAAAAAAATTTCAAAATTTAAATTGATTGACCACGATAATCCTCCTGTTTCCTTCCGAAAAACTGTCTTTTTCGATACGATATCCACGATTTCTCAATTTTTACCAAACTGATTTACCTAAAAAAATTCCAGAAGGTTCTTTATAGACTTTTCTTTAGTATGAACTACGTTCATCCCTAAATTCTGATTTATACTCTTTTTTTAATAAAAAACAAAAGAATATCACAAGAAAATTGTACTTTTTTCCCTTTTCATATAAAAAGTATTTCACCTTGTTCTTAGTTCATACATTATTCTAGATTAATAATATAGTGTATATTTACTATTTTCTCAGATTATTTGGAGTGTCAGGTGCAATTTTTTTGAGATCCATCATTTCACCTATTAGAATTAAAACTTTATGAATATTTTTAACTTCCCGAAGAAGAAGTTTATGTTTTCATCAAATAATAAGATTTGCTAATTTTATTTTTTCTATGCGTTTCAAGCCATTCTGAATCGAATGAGATGAAATTTAGCAAAGGTACGTGTGTGTGTATGTATATGAACAGATTTTTTTACCTTAAATCGCCGTTTTCTCAAAAACACGTGTCTGTGCACTATAATTAATATAATTACAGATCTTATAAATGTGTGTGAAAAAATTCAATTGGTAATCGCTATGTTTGGACTTAAATGAAAGCAAAAACTCTATTTTTGAAATAAACATTTGAAATTGTTATGTTAATCTAAATATCTATATCTTAATTTCGGTTGATTAAGTCATTTATTAAACCTATCGGGAGGTTTTTGTAACTTGCCTTGAGGCAAAAAGCCACTTTCATCTAGCTAAATTTAATTTTTTTCTTATATTCCCAAAATCCTAATTAATAACTCGTAAAAAATATATAGTGAAATTGTTTGCCATTTTTATCTTAGTCTTTCAAAAATCACAAAAAATTCATGTCCAGACCAGAATACTCCCCTCAAAGTAATTTTAAAGTAATAACTCGCAAATATAATAGCAGAATATACGACCTTAGAAATTTAAATAGAAAATATAAGCTTCTATTCGGTTTCTTTATAGGATTATTACGACTCGAACAATAAATATTTCATCGTCTGGAATGTATTTCGAAAGGTCATGCAAAAATGTCATTTTGCCAAATCGTCCTTCGCGTGATTTGAACCAATATAGAGAAATCCAAACTATGAATTTGTGCTAAAATGATCGCCGGCAATTTGTCTGTTTTTATTACCATGAAAATGCTCAACATTTACTTCAAGTTATCATATAGTAATCAATATCAAGGGTAAAATATTAATAGATTCTTAGAGTAGACTAAAAAGGATATTCAATATTCTTTGAGGTCATTTACATATTTTGAAATTATTCGGCAATTACTTGTACGAACACATTTTTCAGTTTTGTTTATTGATATGACCCAAGATTTTTATGAACAAATAATTAACATTTCACAAAAAAGTAGTTACGATTATTATATTAAAACCAATATTATTTGATATTTGTACGTCCTTTTTTTCATAACAACCACAG